GATAGTAGAAGTGTCTCCAGGTCGCCGAAACTTGTAATCAGTGAATCTAATTAGCCCAGGTAAAGGATATATATATAGAGGCCTTACGCCACGATAACAGCCTAATTTCATAGACGCGTTATTTCCCAGAGTTTGAGAGTAAGTAGAATTAAAACTCCCACTCGGGTTAGGATCTCGACCAGATTTTTCCGGTTGGGAATTAATATTCCAGTAACCACCAGACAATCCCGAAAAATCAGGGGGAAAGGATAGTGTCCACAGATCACGGGGAGTCCATAACTCACAGGATTCTTGGGATTCTGTCCACGTGCGCAGGCAAGGAGGCTCCTCCGTTGCGCCACCGGCACCCCCCACCGGAGGACTACTCTTGGGCCACTTAATCACCAGCGAGCGGACTTCCGCCGCTTCCTTGACAAAATCACGGTCCTCTTGAGCAATCTGATAACCATCCCCCCTCATTGGACTACTAGCCTCACCCATCGATTCAACAGACTTGGATAACAGCGATTCATCACCTACCATATCCGACGACGAAGGGAGCCAGAATCTCCATTTTTTCATTTGGTCCGCTCTGCATTTTTTGGCCGACCCATCGGGTTTGGATAACAGCGATTCATCTCCTACCATCTCCGATGACGAGGGGAGCCAGAATCTCCATTCTTTTGTTCTATCAGCTCTGCTTTTTTTAGCAGATTTTGCAGATTTAGGGTTTGATAAGAAATTTTGAGTCGAAGGATTGTCATCCTCTCGAACCCAGGCGCGTTTCCGCTTACGAGTGACCCAGCTAGGGTAGAACCCCTTTTGGCAGAGGTGTCGACCAGCCGCGGAGTTTTTTATCCTCACCGCTTTCCGATCATCTTTCTCCCATCGCCCCTGCTCACTCACAGCAATCCGATTATCCCCAGCAGCTCCAGGGCCAGCGTTTCGCTGGTTTTACAAACTGATCAGAAGCACCGAAGAAAGGGTTTGCAGTAGCCAGTCGCCAAGCATGCACAACCATTCGAAGAGAGAGGAGAGAGCTCCTCTCATGATTCCTCTCCCTCTATCTTTTCTTTTTGAATGATGATGCAGATTTACTAAGCACATAAATTGATATTATGTGAAGTCAATTTAGTATTTACTAAACAGTGAACATAATGATTTAATGATAAAACGGGATAGGTTGCTTGACAACCCCTAGGGGGTCTGATTTTCGAGACTCTAGGAAAAAGCGGTACCCACGCATAATTTCAAATTAATTACCCATTCCCCTTTTTATCTCACCGTTTTCTCTCTTGCTCTCTCCCTTTCAATAAATCAGAAACCCTCCCCCCTGCCTACCAAAACCGTTCCCCATCGTAATCTATCCCGTCGTCGCCATCCCGCCGTCGCCATCCCTCGCCGTAACCCCATCCCGCCATTAAGGGGTCAATCAAAAAGAGGGTATAAAAAAATAGAAACCGGGAATATGGGAGCAGAAAAGCCACTTTTCCCATCAAGCTAAATTGTCCCTTCCTCATTAATAATTATCATGACAGTTAATGCTTCCCCAATTTACAAGTTTACAATTCTCTAAAAAAATTACAAGATTACAAAAAAATAAAATAAAAAAGAACTTCCATTAATACTTGGCAAATGATTGAGTGGAAAATGGATCAATCAATAAGAGGGTGTCAAAAATTAGACCCCTTTTGGGGTTGACATAGTATCCGACCTCTGCTGTATATGTATATTAGTTCAATGCATTCGGGTTTGAAAATGTATGAGAAAAGTTAAAAAAAGATCTTTGAGATTTGAGAACCTATTTTATAGAGTTAATTTTCTTATACTTTCTATCCTGAAGTATTTGAGATCACAACCCTCAAATATATAAAACTTATCAACAAAACTATTCAAAAAGCAATTCCCTAAATTTCACATATTTATTACATCTAATCAAACAATCTCCTAATCCATTATCCTAATTAATTTAGTCTTTGAACGATTCAGGACACAAATATAAAGGTTCATTTAAAATATGACAGAAGGATTCAAGAAATCATAAGAAAATAAAAAAATTATATAGGATCTCGACGCAAGAGCAAGCCAATTATCTATATAATTTTTTAAATTCGACAACAATTAATACGACATTTGAAATTTCCAAATTTTACTCCAATATTGCCACCACACTGAGGAGGGCACATTATTTAAAACCAGAGGGAAATGTCTAACCTATGGCGCGGAGTTCTGCGAGATTAGTCCTTTGGTGAATAGTGCTACTGTATGGAATATCTGCAATGGACGTGTGGCACGCTTCTGGAGCAACTGGTGGCTAGACGAATCAATTATTCTCAGGGAACATGCCCCAAACCTCTCGCCGGAGATGACGAATATGTCTGTGGCTGAATTCGTCCTCAATGGTGAGTGGAACGAGACTTTACTTAATGTTTACTTACCCAAGAAAATTATTTCGCAGGTACTCCTACACCCCAGCACCGATGGAGAGTGAGCCGGATGCTAGAGTGTGAAACCTCTCACCAAATGGAAAATTCTCCCTGCGCACGTCATACGAGCTCACATACATGGTGGAGAATCCTATCCTTAGTCAGCCGATATGGAGATCCATCTAGAAGACTATGATGATGTAGCGAGTGTGCATGTTCTTTTGGCTGCTTAACCAAGGTCTCCTGATAATGGACACAGAATGTAGAATCTGCGGCGGGGGGACCGGAGACAACCATCCATGTTGTTCACGACTGCCCTTTTGCGAGAGCTACTTGGGCGGGGTTGCTTGAAGACGAACCACACACGACTTTTTTTTGAACCAAACATTCACTGATTGTCTCTACATTGTTTATCGGGACGCAATAACATCAACGATAACACTCTTTTGGTAGGCACGTGCTGGCTTCTGTGGAAGAACCGGAATGGCCACTTGTTCCGGAGTGAGCTAAAATATCACCCTTAATTTTTTTTTAGATCGTTGGATCTACGACAAAATAATTACAATGAAAAGAAAAAAAGGAGTTAAGAAAATTTCTCATTGGTAGGAAGGGTGTGACGTGGATGCGTGAGATGTTTGGGAATTTGAATTCGCGAATCTTTAAATGAAAAGGTCTTTAGGACTTTGCTAAGGTGATTTGCAAGTCACCGTGACTTGGACAAAATGGTCGACTTGTTCACTAATGAGGTCAACCTATTTGGACAAAACGATCGACCTCTTCATTGATATGGTCGACCTATTTGGACAAAATGGTCAACCTCATTGTTAGAATGGTCGACCAGATGTACTATTTTTCATTTTGCTATGTTCAACAAATTATCAACTTCTTCCACTAAAAGACACTATACAAAAAAAATGGTCTACCACTTCCATCAAGTGGTCTACCTCTTTCCCCAAGCGGTCCACCTCTTTCAATACTTGATCCACGTGATGAACCATTCCTAGTGATATCATCATATATAATTAGAGTCTAATAACAATAAATATGCTTTCTAGTAAGAGATTTAACATGAATACAAAGGCTGCAAGCATAGATGACAAGTTTCTCGAGTGATTGTTCTTGTTCTCATGTAGATTTGAAAAATGTTCTGCATATTTATTTCTTATATTTGACTTACTTTATAGAGATTTTCATCTTTTTTCAAATTCTAAGTTTCCTTCTTTCTATCCTATAGTTGTCTTGTGATGGATCAACTTTGTTGTTATCGTTGTTATGAAGATGCTCAAAAAGTAGAGTAGATTTGTTATACAATTGTGTCATCTTCGACGTCCATAAATCTCATATCATCACTTTTGGCGGGATTTTTATTCTAGAAGAGTTAAAGGCGGGCGTTTCTTTTTGTCTTGGCCTATAGTCTGCGTAGGGATTTGGTCACCCACAATTGAAAGGATGTTGCGTTACTATAATTTTTTTTTACATTGTTGGTCTCCTATTATCCATTATTTTCCTAATGTAAGTATAAGGTAATTGTGTTATCTGGTCGATTGTTTGCCGAAAACGGAGATCATTTGCCAAAAGAGATATGTAAACCATATTGCGAAATCAATAGGCTGTTTTGGCAGAAGCCGTCTACGTTCTCCAACAAGCAGTTGTAAGTTGAAGGTAAGTGTGTCACATGTCAACCCATTGCCAGAAGCGCTAGACCGGCTGCCTCGAGTGGTATACCACTTGGTGGAAGAGGTCGACCACTTAACATAATTGTGTCATCAGGTCAACCCATTTTCGAAGCGGTAGACCTGTTGACTCAAGTGGTAGACCACTTGGTAGAAGAGGTCGACCAGTTTTTTGGAAGTGGTCGACCACTTGGTGGAAGAGGTTGACCACTTGGAGGTAAGTGTGTCATCAGGTCGACCCATGTCCGGAAGTGGTAGACCGGATGACTCAAGTGGTAGACCACTTGGTGGAAGAGGTCGACGGCTTCAAGATAAGTGTGTCATTCGGTCGATCCATTTCCGAAAGTGGTAGACCGGATGACTCAAGTGATAGACCACTTGATGGAAGAGGTCGACCATTTTCTTGTGAAGTGATCGACCGTTTTCTTCAAATTATGCTGACTTGTAAGTCACCATAAACATACCCAAATCTTTAATATATTCTTTCTGGAAAGTTACCTAACACTAAATATTATCATTTTCTTTCAGATATTTTTATAACCCGACTATAGCAATCACAAGACGCCTATGTGAATGTTGCTTACAAAGTGGCAATTGATCGAATCTCCACAATCACAGAACTCTCAAAATAAATTATACCGCGAGCATAATAGCCAAAACTATCAATTTTTTGTTGTTGTTGTTGTTGTTACTAAGTGCAAAAGGATGAGCTAGATGTTAGGGATCGATGTTAATTTTGGCGAAGTTGTTGTTGTTTAGTTGCAAGAAACACTCACACACCTACCTCGTTGCCAAAAGACCAACTGTCTCTTCCTATCCTCGAAGTGGAAACCCAGGCAGAGCAGTGGCCCCCACACGTTGGCGCGCGCGTGTCCACACCCAATACACTCTTCCAGCCGACGACTGACGCATATCTCTCGCTAGCGAGCTGAGGCTGAGCTGCCTGCCTTCTCCTCCACACCAAACCTCCTCAACATTCCGTCTGCAAGTTTTCTGCTTTGCTTCCTACCCAATCTCCACACCTCTATTCTCTTTCTTCTTCTTCTTCTTCTTCTTCTTCTTCCTCCCCCTTTTCCTCTCTGTTTCCTCTCTTTCTTTCCCCCTCGTTTTTCTTTTACCTTTCGTTTCCTTCCAGAGTCTCGACCTACTGCAACTTCTCCCTTCTTTCTTTTATCAAACTCCACCTCCTCTCTTGCTTTCTGTCACTTTCCAGAGAAAGAAATAAGAGTCAACTAACCCAACAACCCAGGCCATTTGCGCCCAACTCCTCCTTCAGGCCGAAAGAAAGAAACTTGCAGCCTCCCCTGCCAAATTTTGGGGGGATCCGGAACTTGCTTGTTTAAGCTTCTTTCTTCCTCTGGAAGAGCCTTCGGAGATTCTGAAGCCGTCTGATGGTTATCAGCACTTCTTTTGCTTCGTCTATGTGATTGCTGCTGCAACCAGGGAAATCTTCAACTTCAATTTGTTTCCTCTATTGGTTTGGAAAAATGGGCAACTGCTTAGATTCTTCTGCCAAAGTTGATGCTAGCCGGAGTTCGCACAATATCCATACTGGTAATTAGTTGATTGGCCACCTCCACACCAAAGTTTTTGTCTTTTCTCTATTTTTCCTGTGCTGATTTCAGATGGGTTCGTCTTGATTTCTGACGGGTTGCTAACCCTTTCTCCTAAAATAGATCAGATCCGCAAAGGCCGGTCCTTTTTATGTGTGTGATTGACTTGGGCTTCCTTTTTTTTGTAACTTGACCGGTGCTACGTCATAGAATTGAAAGCAATTTCAGCTTCTATTCAATCCTTGCTTCAAGTTCGTTGAAGTTTCCTGTTCAAGTTTTGTTCTTGTGGCTTGATTCGTACTTAAACAGAATTAACCAATTAACTGCAATGTTTCCATATTTGAGATGAATTGGCTCTCTTCTCCATTTGAACAGGAGTTTCTTTCATAGATTTCGACTTGTTTGTGAAAGCTTTTGATAGGTGCTATGTTGTGAATTGACCTTGCTTGAATTCTATGAGGCTGTTCTGTTGGGTAAAGGGATAGGTTTTGGGATAGCTGTTGCCTAAATACTGTAGCTGAGGGAACTCATTCATTTGTTATCTTTGCCAGGATCAGCAGCCTCGAAAGTTTCCAGTAAAACCAGCGGCCGGTCTTCAGCACCTTCCAGCCTGACCATTCCATCCTACAGTGGTAGGAGCAGTGAGTGTCTTCCTACACCGAGGAGCGAAGGTGAAATACTGTCATCCCCGAACTTGAAGGCCTTCACATTCAGTGAGTTGAGGAATGCCACTAGAAATTTCCGGCCCGATAGCTTACTAGGAGAAGGCGGATTTGGATATGTCTTCAAAGGCTGGATTGACGAGAACACCATGACAGCTGCAAAGCCTGGATCCGGCATGGTTGTTGCAGTTAAGAAGCTTAAACCTGAAGGTTTCCAGGGCCACAAGGAGTGGCTGGTAGGTTCTTGTCTTTCCAGATATTTCGTGTGCTTTTTTTGCTGTTAATTGTTTCATCATTGTTAATGAAATTTGTTTCTGCTGTTTGTAGACGGAAGTTAATTATCTCGGCCAACTTCATCATCCAAATTTGGTTAAGCTCATTGGATACTGCCTAGAGGGTGAGAACAGACTTTTAGTGTACGAGTTCATGCCTAAAGGGAGTCTGGAGAATCACCTGTTCAGAAGTAAGTAGTGCTGGTGTAATCAGTTTACCTAAGTTGTGCTATGGTTCTTGGTCTTGGGATATTTCATCCTCATGGATCATGGCGCTTCATTTATCAAGCTATGAAATTGAAGTGCACTGTGGCATCTCCTGTACAGCGTCTTCGATATTTCCAGTCTTTAATTGAACTTTATACGACTATGATCTTCGAAAGTATAAGTTCCTGTAACTCACCTGTTTTGGAGAATTTTGTGGATGCTAAATGTGTACTTTTTTTTGTGTGTGGCTAGAATGTGTATAGTTCTTTAATGTCCCATGCACTGGAGTGCTATTTCAGTATTGGGGATCTCTTCCTTATAAGTTCATTGAGTTACATGTTTGATCTACTTGTGCAATTTAGTCAAGATTCTTAAGCATACTAATGTTATTAAGAGCTCCCTTTTCATATGCCTATCCAGCTGTGCCAAGTGAACCTTGAATGTTTGCTGCATCACCTCAGCCTTCAAAAATGAATAATCGAACTTTGTGATGCTCTTTAAAAAGAGGAATCTGGAAATGCAGAGATTTCTTGTCAAATCTCTGATGACATATATTCTAACTTCAATGTTTCTTGTACTACAGGAGGACCGCAGCCACTTCCATGGGCCGTGAGAATGAAAGTTGCTATTGGTGCAGCTAGAGGTCTTTCTTTCCTTCATGATGCAAAATCCCAAGTCATCTACCGAGATTTCAAGGCTTCCAATATTCTTCTAGATGCGGTATGCTGAAATCTTTTTCCCTTCTGAAGTCCATTGCTTTGTTGAGTCTGGTGATCACACTCTGAATCGCCTTCTTACCAAATGCAGGATTTCAACGCCAAGCTGTCCGATTTTGGGTTGGCGAAGGCAGGTCCTACAGGTGACAGAACTCATGTCTCCACTCAGGTCATGGGAACTCAAGGATACGCAGCACCTGAATACGTCGCTACAGGTGTGTTTCTTGCTTCCATGCTACTACTTACACGGGGTGATAAATTGGGTGCAAAGTGACTGATCATCTTGATTCCATCCTGGTTCCTCGAAAACAGGACGGCTGACTGCAAAGAGCGACGTGTACAGCTTTGGCGTCGTCCTGCTGGAATTGCTTTCAGGACGTCGTGCTGTGGACAAATCCAAAGTCGGCGTGGAGCAAGTTCTGGTGGACTGGGCGAAACCTTACTTGAGTGACAAGCGGAAGCTGTTCCGAATCATGGACACGAAGCTGGGAGGTCAGTACCCACAGAAATCGGCGGTGACAGCAGCTCACTTGGCCTTCCAGTGCTTGAGCAACGAGGCGAAACTCAGGCCTCGAATGTCGGAGGTATTAGCGACCTTGGAACAAATAGATATTCCGAAGAGCGCAGCCAGGAACTTGGTATCGGAATACCAGAACGGAGGACTTAGCTCTCCGGTACAAAGGTCGCCATTAAGACCTCATCATTCTCCTCTCCACTTGACTGCAAACGCTGCTTCCCCGTTGAAAGGGCAACGGCTTTCCCCAAGAGTGCGTTGACGGGAGATCAAAGGAGAGTTGGCATTAATGATTTGAATATCATCTGTAAAGGTTTTATGTAGCTTTGGTTATGAGGGTGCTGTTGTTGTAGAATGTAATTTAGAGTGTGTAACGTGTAATATTGATGCCAATTTTGTAACGATAAGTGACAGGTGATGAGAATCTGTTAATGTCAGTTACTTGGAAGAAATATCTTTATTACTAATAATGTAGGTATTTGAGCTTATCAGTTGAGTTCACTTTTAATTGCGTAACACCATCTGTTTGCCGCCACTCTTATTTCTGCAAAAGGTGTACTTCAAAGTCATCACCACCATTGACATTTAACTGCACAGTGCACATGCATGGTTGTTGAAATGATTCTATTGTTCATAATTTATTGTATTTTTTTTTATATTTAGATAAATGCATGTATATATGATTGTACAATTTTAGTTTTAGGTGAGATTTGTTGGACTAATCTTTCCCTTCCTGCACCAAGCAAAGAAAATATAAGAAAAATATCTAGAGCAATCAAACATTGCTTGCATTGTCACGCTGGTCGGCGTGTCACCGGTTGTACTCGGTTCAATCGGTACCGGTTATAAAATCGGCGTGACACCACCGATATGACCGGCATGATCGATATACGAATCTCTAAGGAAAATGATCTTATTTTAGTGAATTTAATTGATATAGTTATTTTATTATTTATTTTATGAGTATAAAAGTTAAATATTGATGTTATTTGTTGGATTCAAGTATAAATGTTTAGGTATTGACGTTAAATGTCATGTTTAAATATGAGTATTTATAATTTTATTTGTGATATTGACCGGCACAAACCGGTATATGCCACCGATCGAACCATTCCACTTGCTAAACCGGTACACTGACATAAACCGGTTTGACAACCATGCTTGCACCTCTACAAAATATATTTTTGCAGGAAAAAGTGCCAAGAAGAGGGCCTATTAGGTTCGAGACCTGAATGACCCAAATTGTATTCTTTAAAAATAAAAAAAGAAGGAAAGTGAGAGAAATCAAAGAATAATAAAGCTAGCCGTTGATGACTTAAAACTGTATATGTTTTTTTTGAAATTTCGCGTGATTAATGCACACTGACTTCAAGAAAACAGAAAATGAGGTTATTCGGTTCACATCTCTTCAAACACTGTTCGAACGAGCGTGTTCGATGCATACATTCAAGGATCTACTTACTGTTACCTCTACTCCTATTAAGATTCATTGAGAGCTCCGTAACTACTTACTACGACTATAGAGAAGCCTCGTGGGAGGGTCCCTGAGGCTACTGCTACGACTATGATTCTAGAGAGAGAAAGATAAAATTTGACGAGACTTGTTATGGTTTGATTTGTCTGTCCTCCTCCAGAGCCTTGTTGCAAGTTTGGTTGTGCATCACCCTCTCACCGCCTTCTCTCTCTCTCTCTTCCCAAAAATTAGCTCCACGTAGCATCCTCTAACTCTTCTCGGAGCATCCTTTGCAAGTTAGTTGTTGCTTCCGGTAACCACCTTCAACACGTCATCATGTCACTGGAAAATCAACCCTACGTACAATTGGATGGTCACCATACACCAAACAACTTGGATGACATCCATGTTGACTAAGGCAACAATCAAGGACAGTAACCAGATTGAATGGTCACCATACCCTAGCATGGATGACACCATCCATTTAATAGTTTGGATGGTATCCATGATGAATGGGATGATACCATCCATTATAGAGTTTGGACGGTATCCATTACGTTGGACACTACCATCCATAATAGAATTTGGATGGTATCCATGTTGTTGGACACTACCATCCATAACAGGATTTGGATGGTTACCATGTTGTTGGACACTACCATCCATAATAGGATTCAGATGGTATCCATGTTGTCTCATACCGAACTACCATCCATCGGACCTACGGTTCACCAGATAAATGGACCATCAATGTACATATGGACCAACTACTTAAAGTAGTCAAGGTGTTTATACATGTAATAATTAATGATATTTATTTTTAGTGTAAACAAATGCATCCCACAACTTAGTTCATAAGAAATTATGGACTAAGTTGTTAACACCAATTGCTCCATAGACCAAATCACACGGTATGCACAAATCTTTTGGCCCGGTATGCATAATTTCGGTTCGGTTTGAACCGAACTGACCGAATGCCCACCCCTAGCCTGCACAACCCCCAATCGCATAAAGAATCCCCTTCCTTCATTGGCAACTCACCCATGGCAGTAATTTATCTCACTTCCAACTCTTACTCGACCAGTAAATTTTTTTTTTAATTTTATATTAGGCTTATGATAAAGCCAAGAAAATTAATTAGTCCTCAAATAGCCAAACAACATGTCCTACCTTTCCCTTTTTTATAATGAACACAAATTCTTTTTCACGTTGGACACTCCTTCTTAACTCATATCCTACTAGCAAAAGGAGGCTCATTCCTATGAGGACACAACTAATTTTTTCCTCTATTAATTGATGCTCCCATCCATCATAATTCACTACTCAAGAATACCAACATACCCGCAATAAGCTTGTGCGATGCTCTTCCCAACAGTAACTCCGCAATGCCTTCCCGAATCGCCAACCCGAGATAAGCTTACTTTTTTCTTTGCTTCCACGCGAACCTTGGTGTGCTTTTTGCAATTAACAACATGCAAAGTCCGATTGACTTGTTGTTGGCGGCGTACGTCCATTATTTGCATCATTGGACATGTAGTTTTGCATTTATGTTGTGCGGCCAATTAATTAATTAATTATTTATTGAACATATGGCCACTTCGAAAGCTTTGCACCCACATAGAAACTTTTTCTTTGCTTTCTCATACAAGCATACATGCACCAAACTCACGCCAAGGAAGGGGAAGCCGCGCCGTGCTAAAGCTGTCCCACGAAATATCAAAAATGGGAGCGAAGTCTCCCAAGAGATGCCCATGAAGTCTGCTGGGCATCGGGAAGAGGGACCCTCGGCGAACACGATGGCTGCAGGTTCAAAAATGGGCGGCGAAGAGGGCACTCCCAAGAAGAGGAAGCCGCGCCGAGGCAAATCCAAGCCGTTGGAGCAGGGGAACATGGCTGCTGGGCCGGGTTCTCAATCGGTGGCTGCTGTGGGCAAAAATGAACCCAGACCAGTGGCCGATCGTGCGGGTCGGAAGCCAAGGAAGGCACTGGGGAGTGTGATGGAGAAGGATCAGGGGCGCGCGGTGGAGGTCCCCCTGAAGGCAGTGGAGAAAAGGGAAGGAAGGGATGATGCTTTGATGGGCGATGGTGAGCATATCCACCCTTCTCCCTTGAGTGGGGTTATGGGCCCCACGGAGAGTGGATCGGAAGGAACAGGCTCGGGGGAGGACTCTCAGGGCTTTATGATCAAACGTAGAAGTCCGCTGATGGCTACATCTTCCGCTCCCTCTAAGGGTAGGGTCAGTCAGGTGGTGGCAGCCTTTGAGGTAGGCCTAAATATTGCAGAGAAGGACGGTGACAAGGTGATGGGAGGAAGCAAGGAGGGTAATACCGGGGCTGGGGAGTGCAGTTCGGCAGGGATGGTTGTTGGGAAGTTGGATGAGTATGGGTCCAACTTGAGTAACCAGTCGAGTGGGGGGCTAAAGCGAGCATTGGAGGTTGTGGAGGGTGAGGTGGGGGTCCCGCCCACGCCCAAGAAACAATTTGTCGAAGACATGGAAGAGCAGGAGAAGGTGGAGGAAGCCAGCCTGGAGTGGCCCCAGCCGGTTAAATGAGGCTTCTCGCCTGGAATGTGAGAGGCATTGGACCTTCTCTCACATTCCAAACGGCATTGGGTTTGGTCCGTTCCAACAGTCCGGAGCTCGTGTTTTTCTCTGAAACTCGGTCTAGCCGGCGTGTTGTCTCCCGTCGTATGCGGGGCTTAGGGTTTGATATTTCTCGGTGTTTTTTTGTTGATGCGGTTGATGCGTCTGGGGGCCTAGTGCTGGCCTGGTCCCCTGATGTTGATGCTTCTATTTTTTATTCTTCCAGCTTCTGTATTTGCACCCAGATTAATGAAGTTGGCTTTTCTTATATTGTGGTTTGTGTTTATATTAGTTGTTCAGTTTCTGTTAGAACGGCCCAGTTGGCCCACCTTCAAGAAATATGTTCTACGTTCACTATCCCTTATGTGGTTATTGGTGATTTTAATACGATTCTGTCGGAAAGTGAAAAAGACGGTGGTAACCCTTGGTGTGCCAATAACTCGAGCAGTTTGCGGACCTTTATTAATGATTTGGGACTCCATGATCCTGGTTACCAAGGTGATCTCTTCACCTGGACAAACAAGAGAATGGGCATTGCTTGTATTAGAGAGCGATTGGATAGGGCCCTGTGCTCTCAAGCCTGGATAGATCGTTTCCCGGAAACCTTACTGAAGCACTTTACGGACCAAGGCTCTGACCATAGAGCCCTCCTCCTGTCGGATAAGCCTTATAGGCGCCACTGCCGTCCCCTCTTTCGGTTTGATGCCCGTTGGGCGGAGAACCCGGAAGTTAGGGAGATGGTAACCTATGTCTGGCAGGAGGAGGTTCAGGGGACCCCTATGTTCTGCCTGTGGGAGCGCTTGAAAAAGCTGAGACATCTGCTTTATGATTGGAGTAGGGCGGGAACGACTAATTCCTTGCGGAATATTCGGACTCTCCAGGGCGAGATTGATAGGATCAAGCTAATCCAGCCCATTGACTGGGACGCGATCCGGGGGTTGGAGGCTGATCTGAGCCGGCAATGGGAGGCAGAGGAGCTGTTCTGGCAGCAGAAGTCCAGGGTCCACTGGCTCAAAAAGGGTGATAAAAATACGTCCTACTTTCACACGGTGACCAGGACCCGTCGTAAGAGGAATTTTGTGACTGGCCTTCGCAGGGATGACGGGGAGTGGGTTACTGATGAGAAGGATAAAGCTGAGGTAGCTACTTCTTTCTATCAGAACCTGTTTGCCTCAGAAAACCAAGTGGATTACATGACTGATCGGGTGGCATCCTTGCCTATTGCTCGATGTGTTACCCCTGAGATGAATGCTGATCTCACTGCGGAGGTTCTCCCTGCAGAGGTGCGCAAAACAGTCTTCTCCATGGGCTCTAAACAGGCGCCGGGGTCCGATGGGTTTACACGAAAGTTTTTTTAAGGCTTTTTGGGATATTGTGGGTGACTCGGCGATTTCAGCTGTATGTTCTTTCTTTGCTACGAGTCGTATGCTTCGTAGCTTTAACCATACGTGGCTCACTTTGATCCCTAAGGTGGATAATGTGGAAACTATGCGACAGTTGCGTCCTATCAGTCTCTGCCAATTTGTTTATAAAATAATCACTAAGATCATGGCTGGACGTCTTGCTTCCCTTTTGCCTATGATTGTCTCTGATGGACAGAATGCTTTCATTCGGGAACGCCAAATTGTGGATAATATTCTCCTGGGGCACGAATTAATGCACTATCTTAAGACCAAAACGAAGGGGAAGAAAGGGTATATGGCTCTGAAGGTCGATATGGAAAAAGCCTATGATAGAGTCGAATGGCCCTTTCTCCTTGCGGTTTTGGATAAGATGGGTTTTAATTCTACCTGGCAGGAGTGGATTCGTGAGTGCCTTCGATCGGCCTCGTTCTCTGTGCTTATGAATGGGACTCCCTCGGGGTTCTTCACTCCTTCTAGAGGGCTTCGGCAGGGGGATCCTCTCTCTCCTCTTTTATTCGTGCTTTGTACGGAGGGATTTGCTGCCCTTCTTCGCAAAGCTATCACCGAAAAGAAATTGGAGGGAGTTAAGGTGGCCCCCCGTGCGCCGCGCATATCCCACCTGTTCTTTGCTGATGACTCTTATCTATTCTTACGAGGGACTCTCCGGGAATGTGAAAACTTGTTAGAGGTCCTGAACGAATATGAGGAGTTGAGTGGACAACGGGTGAACTTGGATAAATCGGCAGTCTGCTTTAGCAAAAATGTCCTCCAGGAAGACCAGGAGTTCTTGGCCGCAATTCTGGGTGTTGGGGCGGTTGGGGTCCATGACAAGTACTTGGGCTTGCCTACGCTAATTGCTCGTTCGAAAATGACCACGTTCAGATACTTGGAGGAAAAGGTGATGGAGCGTCTTCAGGGATGGAAACGGAAAACCTTATCTTGGGCGGCGAGGGAAACTTTGATTAAATCCGTTGCATTGGCTTTACCTCTGCACGTGATGTCTTGCTTTAAGTTGCCTCTTTCCCTCTGTCGGCTTTTAGATAGGCTGGTGGCTCGATTTTGGTGGGGTGACTCTGCGGATCATTCTCATATTCATTGGATGTCGTGGCGGAATTTGTGCCGTAGTAAGCACGAGGGTGGGCTGGGGTTCCGCCGTTTTGAGCAATTTAACCAGGCCTTGCTTGCTAAAATTGGGTGGCGAATCCTCAATGAACCCCATTCCCTTTTGGCACAGGTTTATAAAGGAAAGTATTTCCCCAAGGGGTCCTTTTTGGAAGCTTCGGCTCGATCCAGACCCTCTTGGGGTTGGCAGAGCATCTTGTTTTGTAGACAGCTGTTGAGTCAAGGTCTGCGGTGGCAAATTGGGAATGGTCACTCGGCGCCCTTGTTGGCCTCTAAGTGGATCCCTCGTCTGCAGCATGATCCTCCTAATTATAATCCCCGGGTTTTGCCAGAGGGAGGGCGGGTACCCCCGGGTGGCTGAGGTTATGTGTTTGGGGGGAGGACAGTGGGATGAGAGCAAGTTAGAGCGGTGGTTTGATCCGTCTACCTGTGAGGCTATTAGGGCTATCCCTCTCCCGCGTCAGAATGTGGAGGATAAGTTGATTTGGCATGCAACGGTGGATGGGGTCTTTACGGTAAAGTTGGCCTATCATTTGGCGATGGATGTAGATAGGAGAAAAGGGGGGTGGCGATCCGTGGTGGGGTGGATGGATAAGCAGACCTGGATTCGTGTTTGGGACTCGAATATCCCGCCTAAGCTTAAAATCTTTGTCTGGCAGATCTGTAATCGCATTTTGCTCACTACAGAGGCTCTTTTGGAGAGGGGGGTGCAGGTTCACCCTCGGTGTCCGGTCTGTTGGGGAAGCCAGGAAACTTTGGAGCATTTGTTTTTGGATTGTCCTGTTGCTCGGGCCCTTTGGGATCTTTCGGGGCTGGCCTATTTGGGGGAGGGGCTCCCCCGCCAGACTTTCCCGTTGTTTCTCAAGAAGTTGATGGCTCTGATTCACCAGCCGCGCTTGTTCATGGCTCTGGTTGCTGTCCTGTGGCGTATTTGGCGATCCCGTAACTGGGTTGTCTTCGAGGGCAAGCAGTTTGGATTCGCAGCTTTAATGCGACAGTTTCAGCAGCAGTATGAGGAGTGGATCAGGTTACCAGGGGATCCTGTGCAGGGAGGTGTTTCACGCCTTCCCCCGTTGGGGCCTAATCCGGGCCTGGCTGAGGGGGTTGTGTGCATGTGGGATGGGGCAGTTCGGAATGGATCGCACGGGGCTGGTGGGGTAGTCCTTTACACTCCTTCGAGGGATGTATGGTTGGCTAGGGGGGTGTGGCTGCCTGGGATGGATGATCCGTTGGTGGTAGAGCTGCTTGTCTTGCGAGAGGCTGTGTGTTGGTGCTTAGAACTGGGACTTGAGGTGGTGCAGTTTGAAGGGGACGCTAAGATTATCATTGATAAGATTAATCGTGCGGATAGCAGGGACAACCGAGTGGGTGCTATCTTGGAGGAACTTCGGATGCTTTGGCATAGCGCTCCTGGGTTTAGTGTGCGATTTGTAGGACGGAGGTATAATAGGGTAGCCCATTTGGTGGCTCGTAAGGCCCTTTCATTGTACCCGACCGCGAGTCGTTCTTTTGATTTTCGGGCCTGGCTGTTTTCCAGGATGTAACTATCTTCTGATCTGATTCAATATATATCTATCTTTTGTTAAAAAAAAAAAAATACATGCACCAAACTCCAATTCTCTATGAACCTTTAGCCTATCGCATGGCCAAACTGATTTATTCCCATGCCACACCTTACAATACAACAATTTAATCATTATAGAAAACCATGCATAATTCATTTAATTTTAAAAGTTTCTAACTACACCATTATTAATTTCCGGCAGAAACAATATTCATTGATAATCCATCTTTTAAAAATGCCTTTGGTCCCTACGTAGAAGATCAAGTGTTCTTGTGTGTTTCTATTCTATTCATTAGTTCTTTTTATAAATTTTCGTCGATGAACCCTACACTCTAGTTGTGCCTTCTCAAAGTACCGATACAATTGAACTAGAAATATCAAATTCTTGTCGATGTTCTTCATATTGCTGGAATTGGCACCAAATAATATATGTAGAAGTGATTTAGTTAATTAATGTGGATAATTATGTCATTCTTATAATCAGTAAATACTTGTAGAATTCATTTGAAAATTCCATCTCAATTTCTCGGAATTGCTTTAACTAGTTCCAATCTATAGAATTCAAAATCTAGAATTGAAAGTGAATTCTTTTAAATCAAACTCAATTGAATTTCATTTCAAAATGAAATTTTCAAACCTTACGAAATTCATTTATACCTAAATACCAAATTTATAAGAATTCAGATTGGATATAGTGATGACAATGGGGCGGGGCAGGGTGGGTACCTCAATACCCATGCCTTGCCCATGCTACTGCGGATCAGGGCGGGTAAAACCCGAGCGGGTACGGGTCGACCCACCCTTACATGTTATTTGAAAAAAATACACGCAAATTTTAGTTTTTAGGATAAAACGAAGGGAAAAACACTTTACGAATGAAAATAGTGATAATAGAATGGACAATTGAGTCCAACAAGTTGAAAGATTGACTCTAACTAGTTGAAGCAAATAAAAATATGAGAATTATCAAATATGTATAGATACCGTAAGAAATTGAGATAAAATTGGCTAATAACGGGACGGGATGGGACATGGCGAGTCAGAAGTAGATACCCATATCCCGCCCACGCTACTGCGGGTGGGTTAATACTCGCCCTATCTCAAATCAGGTCGACTAATATTCACGGGCCGGTTTCAAATTGCCATCACTAATTGCACATGTTTTCTGGCCGGTTGGAGTTTGGGCCAAATCCATTACAGTTCTGTCAGCTGCGTGCGGCCGGATACAGTAACCGGGTATATCCACCTCCAAACAGGTCCAGCCCAAACAAGAAGGAATTCTTTATTATTTATCACTTTTAATTTCCTTTTTTTTTTAATGTCTTTTCGAAAGTGGGAGAGCAACGAAAGGAGAGCGAAGGTTGACACAGCAAGCCGGAAAATTCCGATCACTGGAACGTTAAAGGTGCCAGTTTCAGAGTTCTGTTGACCTCCGACAGTCATTCCTGCTCGCCGGCAGTAGTCGCCTCTGAAGATAGGTAGGTTTCCGATTCTCAGCTCTAATTCTAGCTGCTGCTTATGTTACTCTCCTCTTAAATCTCGACCTAACTCGATTAAGGGAGAGGATTTGATACTGTTTCTTTGTTGGCCCTAATTCATTCAGATGTGGACGATCACTGCGATGAAGCTTGGAGTGGAGTTGTTCAGCTGCTAAAAAAGGACGCAAAGAGAAAAGGAAAGAATTTGCTTTTCATTTTGAAGTTTCTTTGTGAGTTTATAGTTCGCGTTCTGAGTTGCTAGGAGAACAAAAACACAAGAGAATGGTGCTGGTTTTAGCTATAGGGGACCTTCACATACCCCATAGGGCGGCTGATCTGCCTCCAAAGTTCAAGTCCATGCTTGTTCCTGGCAAGATTCAACATATTATCTGCACTGGCAATCTCTGTATTAAAGTATGTATTACCTGGGTACTTCTCAAGTTCTTCCATTCTTCGTTCCACACTCTTTCTGAATTGGCTTCTTTTGTTGGGTCTTCGTCTTTAATTTGCTTGCTATGGGTTTCATTCCAGAGTAAATGCCTTGATCCATATGGGTGCTTGTTATTAGATAGATAGACGCAGGCATGTTGCAGTTGCATACTTCCGTGGGGTTTGGCTGGTTTTAAGTTTTAACAGTTCTTTCTGATCTTATAGTGGCCGTGTTGTTCATTTCTTGGCAAATTTACTGTTCTGCTGAGAAGTTCCACAATGAAGGCTCATAAGTCTGTTTTCAGTGGAAGACAGAGTTACCTAGTGGTTGCATATTTGATTGGTATGTAGTATTTGGAAGACGGTAGGGTTTCAAATGGTTCGTTTCTGTAATCTCCTGAGGTTTGCGGGTGCCTTAAGACTGCATACTGTTTCAATTACTCTGCATTTGCATTGCTATGTCTTTGAGATTATCTTCCAGAAGTATTACATCCATTTTCCCATCAGATGCAATGATATTTCTGATGTAAAATCCTGCTTTTAGATTTCATTTGCAAGTCATTTTATAGCTGGTCATGTTACTATACTTGATCTGCAATTCTTATCAGCTATTGTTTTGTGTGACTTTCATGAACAGGAAGTGCATGATTACTTGAAGAGTCTGTGTCCCGATTTGCATATCACCAGAGGTGAATATGATGAAGACGCCCGCTATCCAGAGACCAAGACGCTCACCATTGGGCAATTCAAGCTTGGAATATGCCATGGCCATCAGGTTCTCTTTCTAAAGCTGTTTGCATAGCTGCACTTGCATTTATTAGATGATTTCTCTCATTTTTGGACAAGGGAAGGGAAGGTTGGGCAGAGGGTAGGACTTAGGACGGTACTAAAATTTTTGGACCGATGACATTTGTTTCCTGTACATTTGGAATCCTTATCCTCCGTGTGTTAATGCTCTGAAGGTTATTCCTTGGGGAGACTTGGATTCGCTTGCCATGCTGCAGAGGCAACTCGATGTGGACATCTTAGTGACCGGTCACACGCATCAATTCAAAGCCTATAAACACGAAGGTGGTGTAGTTATCAATCCAGGCTCGGCCACTGGTGCTTACAGTAGCTTCACCTATGATGTGAACCCAAGCTTTGTGCTGATGGACATCGACGGTCTACGTGTCGTGGTGTACGTATATGAATTGATCGATGGTGAGGTCAAGGTCGACAAGATTGATTTTAAGAAGACCGCCAATCCTCGGTGATTACGCATGCCGAGAATGTAGCTTGAATCCATGGTAGTACCGGAAGGAAGCAATTATTTGCTAATTGGTGGATCCCGGCGAGACATTTGATGAATAAAGATGTGTACCTTGCTTTTCATGTTTGTTCGCTCATTATTCCTGAGTTTCTGAGACCTTGATTAGGGTTTCAGCGGCGTGTAGCTTCGTATTTTGCATTCTCATTTGTTTCATCGGTGTGTAGCTTCTCTTCAGTGTGTTTGGCAGAGTAAAAGTATTCGGTTCTTTCAAAATAACATGTTTGGCTGGTGAAAGAGGGATGTATCATTTGATACTTGTTATATCAAAATACCACAAACATGTTATTTGATTTGATATGACAGAATAACACTTCTAGGGTAACAACAATGCATTATGAGTATCAGGGTAAAACGCACCGAATTATTAGATAGTAATATTATTGTGTTAAATAAAATTGAATCACGCTCTCCTTCGTCGAGATTTCCTGCCAACCTCCAATCGATTATGTTGTTCTTTAATGTCGTCGTCTTAACTTTGGTATCCCCCTCCACTATATATATGCATCCTCTCGATTTGTAGTTGCATTTGATTTCATCGGCAAATCGCTTTCTGCTATGCAAATCACATTCCAATTGTCAAAATCAGTTGATGTACCTCCGCGTCGACACCTTCTTCGTTCTTCGGTCGTCATTCCATCCATTACGCCATCATTGCTGCAATTTCTGACAAAGCCGCCTCCACATTTCATCTTAGTTGAAAATCGTCAATGTTTTCCACTTTTGACGACCTAAACCCGCAACTTTCAGATATGCGTTCTACTACCATTTGAGATCTGGTAGAAAATCACCTATGTTTTCCACTTATGACGACCTAAACCAGTAGCTTTCGGTTATGCATTCTGCTACCATCCAAGATCTGGTCCAAATTATACTATTTTCACTATGCACTATGATATTTCTGACATTGTATTTTTCTAGTATGTATTTTTCCAGGAGATGAGTTTTGTTGTTTGAGTTTGTTTTATTGTTTATGGTATGCAGTGTGTTGTTTGTGTTGTGTTTTATAAGTTTTGTGGTTTGTCTAGAGTTTCTGGACTCTGGTATACATTGTACAATTTTGTGGTTTGAGTTCTCTTGTTTGTTGTGTGTTTTTTAGAAAACTTGTGGTATACTTTATGGTGTTAAATGTTTGCATAAGGAGGTTTTTGGTTGTATTTCTAGGTTTTTGATTTGTATTAGAAGGTTCTAGTGTGCTTTAGAAATATTTTCTAGGACAACATTGTGAAATGCTCCATGAGTTTTTTTTTGGGTATTTTTTATGGTGTTTCTAGTTTGCATCAGTAAATATATGGTCTCCATTAGAATGTTTTCTGGTTGGATTATTAGATTTGTGCTTTAGAAATACTTGCATGCTTTGTTGAAGATGTTGTGTGCTTTAGGAGTTTTTATGGTATGCTTTGGTATGCATTCGGAGGTTCTAGTCTTTCTCATGTCTCTTGTGGGAAACACAATTATTTGCAGTTTTTGGTATTTTGTATTAGTATCGGTTTTTAATGATTGGGGGATTATTTGGGTATTTGGGGGAATAAACAGGGAGTTAATTGTTACGTTTTATTATTCGGGTAGCAGATAGGAATTAGACAGGTTATATAATCTGTAATAGTGGTCTTATTTTGGGATTAAGCAATTACAGAACCAAAAACCTAAATCCTAATCCTCTCTCTTCTCTCTCTCTCCTGCGGATTTTCCCTCTCCCTCTCTTCTCCAAAGCTGCGGCAGCAGCCCTCTTTTCCCCTCTTCTTGTTCTAAAATCCCCAATTCTAATCCCTAGTTAGATCAATCCCTAATTGATCTAGCTAAATTTCCCAATTCCCATTCTGTAAGAAAACCTTGTTTCTTACATCTGGTATCAGAGCCTGGCTCGAGAGTGAGTTCCTTTGAACTCTTGAACCAGGGAAAGCAACGATGGTGTCAACGAAATCGATGAAGGCGGCGGAGAAGGCAGCGCTGGAAGCCGAGAGGAGCAACGCGACGGGCGGTACTGATCTTGACGGGGTGGTGATGGAGGACCTTACCGAGCTGGAGGCAGTGAAGGTGGTGGTGCACGAGCACTCTGATGCGCTGGCCAGGCTCGAAGAAGGCCTGGCAAGAGTGCAGGCGGATGCGAAGGAGGATGATGACGATCTGCGTCAGAGGCTGGAGGACCTGATGAGGGCAATTACCTCGTTGCAGGCAAAAGGAAGCGGTCCAGGGGGAGCACCGATCACGGCGGAGCCGACGTTTGAAGGAGGTGGCGGTCTGGGTGCGGCGGAGGCGGCTGCTGGAGGCGGGGCGACTGCGGCGACGGCGCTATCGGCGCCGGCGGGGGCCACGACGACGGAGGTCGGGGCGGGGCGATCACGGCGGGGGCGTCAGCGGCTCAGGTTGCCGCGCCAGCCGAGAGGGCCGAAGGGAGCAGGGCGGCGGACGCTGGGCCGGGCTGGTCGGACTGCAGTAGGGCTGGGCTCAGGCTCGGGCCTGTTACCTACACCCACGGCCCAAGAGATTGCGGCCCGAAAAGGGAAGGCTAAGATGGCTGGGTATGACACAGATCGGCCTCCTATGAATGGTGGGCCGGGGCAGCTAGGTCACTACACAAGGATCCATAACGTGGCTGGATCTGGAAGATGGGCCTGAGTATGACCAACTAAGCTTGGCGGGCCAGCAGGCCCATTGGGCTGAACAGGAGATGAGCCAGAGGGGGCCTGGTGGGCCGAGTAGGGCCGCTGACCAGATGGGGCCAGGCGGGTCGGCTCCTATTGGGCCGGGACAGGCAGACGGGCCAGGAGAGGGTCGGACTGAACCGGAGCAAACCGTGATTGGTCGGACCAGTGCTGATCGGACCCAGTTGAGCCGAACCGGACCGGGGCGGACCGGGATGGGTTGACCCGAGGTGGGTCGAACCGGGCATCGACCGAGCCCTACTGCTCAGTCGAACCGGCGGTTGGACAGCAGGGGTCGAGGAGGAGGGGAGGTCCCGTACGAGGCGCCTCCAGTTCCAGGGGGATACCCGAATCAGCCGGGCGGTTACCCAGGTGGGTATGGGCACGGAAATCCGAACCTGATGCAGTGCTCTCAGTGGGGGCAGCCGTGGAAGACGCCGGGTAACGACAGGTATTGAAACATCCCTCCTCTTTGAATTTGGAAAAAGACATTTCTACCCCGGGGTATAGTTAAAATTCTCAAATAACACAAGTTTTAAATAAAAATACCAAACTCAAATATCTCAAATCGTAGCCCTAAACATGTGGGCAAACCTCAAGTTGTCCAAAGGAAATGAATCTCCAGTCTTTAACTCTTAACCATAATGTCTTAATAACTTGAGAAGTTCTTCGAAGCTTACTCAGACGCCTGGCTCGACATCTCTCAACGACGATGGTGTTGAGCTCCTCTAGCTTGCTGATCGCGGACTGGCTGGTTTGGATTTCCTCCTCTACGATCTGGTGAGTGAATTGGGGTCAGTCTACGCCCTTACGATAAGATCTATAGTACTTTAGTATTCTTCTCTAAACACTTAACTTCTATTAGTGGAAGTTGTTTTGTACTTCCACTCTTAAAACTTATAACTCATAAAATTCTTCGGGAATTAAAGTTAGTCTCCCTCTTTAAAGCTCAAAACTTTACTTAAATCTTTTGACTGACACGGGGACCCCTCACTAGCTAGTCCGGTTGCCAACTCATACGTATGAGAAGCCATTCAGGCTTTCCTTAAACTTAAACTTAGTTAGGGAAGTCGTAACGATTCATCCCCCTAACGTCTTAAACTTATCGTGGTGGCTCTTCACCATGATTCTCAAGGGCATAACTGCTGCCCATCTTAAAAATCTCAAGAGCATAACTGCTGCTCTATCTCAACTGTCTCAAAAGGCAACGGACTGGCGCTAGTGACTAAAAACACTTAAAACGACTTCACCTTCTTGAAGGTGAGTTACTTCTTAAAAAGGACTTGCTTCTTAACTTTAACGATAACTTATAAACTTAAAGCTTAAATTTAAATAAGAACTCATGCAAATTCACATCAAGCATAGCTCAACACAATCACATATCATCAATCATAAGCACAATCAAACAACGACATTCACTTCATCGAAAATACCCAAAACTTGTAATTCTTGAAAGAACCCGTAAGGCGTAGAATTTACCCCCTTTACACTCACCTGATCGTTCAAGTTGATCCACTTGGCTTCACGATTAATTAAGAATGCTTCTCAAGGTTCGTTCCTCCCCCGGTAGCGTGGTCTCGTACTCCCTATTTCCTTATACATTACCGTATCCTCCAATTAAAAGTGAGCACAAAAGTAGATTGTAACAATTTCAGTTCCTATGTGGTAGATGGCTTCCAATTATTTGGTCCCATGAACTAATTTCCCTACTGTATCTCATTTCTTCCATTTTGTATGATGAGACACATTCCTCAACGTGTCCATTACCTAGGTCACCCACTTAGCTTCCTCAAACTTCCATGCCACCTCGTTTACCTAGTTGGACACCTATGTTTACAATTGCTTTAACAAGCTGAATTGTGCACTCATCCATGATCAGTACGTGTGCCACCTAAACATGCACCCAAGTTTATATAATCACTTTTTCCTCCCGAAGATTCGATTGGCATGAAGAGTTAACATTCCACCATTGATATTACTTGCCCTTTTTTTAATTCTTCTTCTCACAACTACTCCCCCACTTTAATCATGACTATGAACACATTTATGCACCCCGTCCATTCCATACCTAAACCCCACTCCACTTACTACTTCAAATCAAAGCATTACATCCACTGATTTCCATGTATATATCCTCCCGATTACTCATTATCATTTTGGCACAGCCCGAGGGAAGTAATTAATAATATCATAATCAACACAACCATGAAACCCAAATTGACGCATGAAGAAAGGATCCGAAAGCACAAGATGCTTACTCTGAAGGCCCAGCGATCCTCCACAGCACAGAGAAAGGCCACCGGCTGCAGTTTGGAACGGTTCCTGCTACTCTATCGATCGGCCTCGACTGATCATCGAGCTGCTGAGATGAGAGAAAAGGCTGGTGGGTTTATTCTTTATGCACGATAGGGGGTTGGGGAAGGGTTGAGGGCGGCGGATTCTCTGCTGCGGGAGGCTTGAGGTTTTCTTCGCTTGGGGGAAGGAAAGCAGAGAGGCGGCTGGTTTCTATTTGATGGCGTTTGGGAATAAAAGGAGAGCGGCTGGGGATGTAATTACATGAAGGGGCCGTTCGGCCCCAGGTCGAGTATACCCTTTTTTTTAATAATAATAATAATAATTGTTATTAT